ATGATTCTAGAAAAGTGTACTATTCTGCGTGCAATAATAAACCCTTCGTTCAATAATGGTAGAATGATAAACCCACTTCTTAAAACCGCCGAGTGGTCTACCCTTCTGTTGTAATCGTTGGATAATCTACCCTTGCGAGTAGAATAATAAATCCTTTTGTGAACTCCATAGCGTAATATACCCTTATGCGTAGAATAATAAACCCTTTTGTGGTCCTCGTGGAATGATCTACCCTGATGCGTGCAACAACATACAATTTTAATGAAAACGTAGAATAATATACCTTTGAGAATAGAATAATAAATCCTATTGATAAAAACTTTGACTGATATACCCTCAACTACGCATCATATATCCCTTTTATTTTCATATACCCTCACTGTTATAAACCATTTCGTTCATAAACCCTTAAAGGGTATATGAAGTGGTTATAAACCCTTGAAGGGTTTATGGAATCGTTTTTCAAGTCAAAGAGTTGATTATTCTACGGATTTTTTTTTCGGTGTTGTTTTTTTTATCTTCCTGTTTTTGTTCATTTTTCTCAATATATTCTATTACTGTATTCAACGTATTATATTTCAATAGTTATTTATCAATAATAGATGTAATTCATTCCGCATAAACTACAACCTATGCTGCTAAATTGACATAATCGAAATTTGCTCAATTTTATATATGTTGTAAAGGCAAGAGTTTTAAGAATTTTGAAACAAGCCGTTCGAAAAAAAACTTTGTTCCATTCTCGAGGGCTGTCAAAGATCCCGAAATTGTCCACTTTACCTAAAGTCCGCTAGTGAATAGAAGGACTTTACTAATTAATAAAAAATACCAAATTTATGCCACACTAATAGTATACCCAACTTTTCTATTTCTCATCGGAACTTTCTTTTTATTTAGCGGACTTTAGGAGGACTTTACTATCATCATGCGTCACTTTTCTCTTAACAGAAGGACTTTTCTCTTTTCAATGGATGATCATTTTTTTCCTTAGAGGACTTTTCAATTTTCCAGCGGAATTTCCTTTTTTATTTAGCGGACTTTAAATGTACTTTACTATTATCATGCGTCACTTTTCTCTCAATAGAAGGACTTTTCTCTTTTCAATGGATGATCATTATTTTTGTAAGAGGACTTTTCTATTTCTCAGCGAAATTTTCTTTTTACTTAGCGGACTTTAGATGTACTTTACTATCATCATGCGTCACTTTTCTCTCAACAGAAGGACTTTTCTCTTTTCAATGGATGATCATTATTTTTTGTAAGAGGACTTTTCTATTTCTCAGCGGAATTTTCTTTTTACATAGGGGACTTTAGATGTACTTTACTATCATCATGCGTGACTTTTCTCTTAACAGAAGGACTTTTCTCTTTTCAATGGATGATCATTTTTTTCGTAAGAGGACTTTTCAATTTTCTAGCGGAATTTCCTTTTTTACTTAGCGGACTTTAGATGTACTTTACTATCATCATGCGTCACTTTTCTCTTAACATAAGGACTTTTCTCTTTTTAATGGATGATCATTGTTTTTTTGTAAGAGGACTTTTCTATTTCTCAGCGGAATTTCTTTTTTACTTAGCGGACTTTAGATGTATTTGACTATCATCATGCGTCACTTTTCTCGCAATAGAAGGACTTTTCTCTTTTCAATGGATGATCATTATTTTTTGTAAGAGGACTTTTCTGTTTCTCAGCAGAACTTTCTTTTTACATAGGGGACTTTAGATGTACTTTACTATCATCATGCATCACTTTTCTCTTAACAGAAGGATTTTTCTCTTTTCAGTGGTGAAAAGTGACAATATTACTCAAGCTGTAAATCCTAATCATAATCACCAATGGAAAGGTAGTGGAAACAGTTTGTTGTTTTCTCAATCTATTTTACTCACACAGATATGAATGAAAAGAGCAGATAAAATCTATCACTATGTTAATATTAAGGTTAATTGGATTACTTGCGTTATCAGATTTATTTCTTTGTTCACCTTATTCAATGAGTTGACACTTTCGGCTTATCAGAGATTAAACGTTATTTTCAAAAAAAGTTCTTTGTAAATAAATATTTTTCATTAAGTAAAATAACAGATAAAGTTATTGCTGAGCAAGCAATTTTTTGAAATCCTGTTGGTGAATTAATGATTGGTTTATTAACAACGATTCTTATTCGAAGTTTATCAACATCACAATCAATTGTTGTATGAGTGGTTTCATCGTCCGGTGAGTTTGATTTATTTCATGATAATATTTTATTTGAAAAGGAAAGCTTAGTTTTGCCCGTTAAACGAGCGATACCGATTAGTATGGGTAAAATCGAATTTAAATAAGTCTAAATAAAATGTATTATTCCTATTGTTTCTTAGGAGCAAACATAGATATTCTATTAATAAATGCTAATCATAGGTAAATTTTCAAATGTATTTTTGTTTAAAATGTACATCTGTAACCAACACATTGGTTGCTTTAACGCAACCAGTTTTTGTTTTATTATTAACAAGACTAAATCAACATTTATATTTTTTCAAGGGAAAACATGAAGAATTTAGTCTTGCATTTGCTGGTACAGCTGTTCATGATATGTTCAATTGGTTAAAAGTACTTATTTTATTATCAATTGAAATAATTTCGAGTAAATAAAGATATTTATTTTTGAATATATTTTAATTAAAATAAATTTAGATATGATATATCATTTAACTAACTCAATAACAAAATCAATAAATTTAAAAAAAAATACAAATTTTAATTCAGAAGTTCTTACTGTTATAAGAAAACCATTAACTGAACGATTGTTCAAGTATGTTATTTAAAATAAAGTTTTCTAATAAAGATGAACTGTTGTTTTTTATTAGCTTGATAATGAAGCAATTGAAAGTATAGCATTGGGTAATGCTAGTCCAAATATATCTTTACTAAAACGATATTGTTCATTTTAAAAGTGTGTGATTTTAATGAATTATTCAATCTAATAGAATGGAACTTGATCCGAGTTTTCTCGTAATTTGTTTATCTTTGTTTATTAATATTTCTTGGAAAAAAATGATTAGCATAACACAGTGCAGTTTTTGTGGATTCGACAGTCGATCAAAATTGTATGTTGATATATTATAAATTTTTTTTCTTTTTGGAGATGTTTCGTTCCAGAATCAGTTTCACTTGAGCAGTCCAGTCTGTTTTCGTCGAAGATGGATGGTCACTACGAAGATTTGCTGGAGACTTATTCATTGTTGGTTGTTCTTTTCTCTTTTGTCCAGATGTAGCCTTGGTTCCATTATCGGATAAAGTTTCATTCGGCCGATTGAGTGTTGACAAAGTACTTGATGAAACAGCATTGGACGCTTCCTGTAGTATTGACATCGAGTCTGCTGTATGCATTAGACTAATGTCAGGTACATGAGGAACTTGATTGGCCTATGAACAGATAATAGATTATTGAACCATGTGAATCAGTTTCTGCAATACAATTTACTCACAATGTTGAATACGGAACTGGACTTGGTATGGGTTGTCATCAAGTTCTTATGATGGAACAATATCAGGAGAAACATCGAGGCTCTTTTCCATCCAAGACTACTAATAATCGATGCATAATCTTTAAGCCAGCTAAATAGTTGTTCTGCTGCTTGAGTATTTATGTTTACAAGAACTGAAAGCACAGCAAGTGTAACAAAAAAAAACTCAAGAAAGTGAAAACAATTTACATGGATTTTTATCTGGATTCATATTAGCTCGACACCAAGATCCCACGTGATTGCGAAAATGTGTTCTATCTACACTAAATTTCACTTGAGCGAGCTCCTTTGCAGCATTTGTTGCAATCAGATCTTTACCAATATGGTTATGTAGATATTCAATCAAATGACATCCATCATCATAAACACCTGTTTTAGGTATTACTCCCGATACTGAAATTATGATGTTGATATTTTAATTTTAAATATAATCAGATATTAAATGATCATACCCTTTATACTATTTGTTAATAACTGTAGGATTTCTTTCAATGTCTCCGTCCTGAAAATTTCACCAAATGTAGTTACAATGCCACAGTTGGTTACTGCTGCTATTACACCAAAGCTTCGAGCACATTTACGTACGTAAGAATCTGCTCTTGCTTTGCTAGTGCGGCAGCTTGTGGCACCAAAACTTGTCTCTTTTTGTCGTCTTCCTTTCTTCAATCGACAAAAACGTGAAGGCATTACAGATTTTCGTTTACTCCTTCCTATAATACACTTTGCCGTTTCTGCAAGTTGATGAAGGTTACAATATTTAGAATAACGAAGTGGAGTGCGACAGCACCCAACAATCATTTTATCAAACAAATCTGTTTTTATTTCAATTTCCTTTATTCTGCAAACACGTCTTCGACACTTTTGATGACCATCAACTACTAATGCTTCTGAACATTTACTTCCATTGCATGGCCCAAGTATTTCTTTGTGCCGAGACCAGAAATAAATAAATGACGTCAGAAAACGAGGATAAATACTCCATGCCCAGTCATCAAAATGGTCTAAGGATTTTGGTAAGTCAACCTGTGGAGTGCCTACGAACAAATCTAACTGAACAATGTTGTAAATGTACATCATACGTGCTAATGTTCGTCTGTCTATAATATGTACTTGATGCTGCTCACCATTAAATGCTTGTCGGTTTAAACTGTCGACAGTTTTCATCCATGAATTAGCATTAGTAACTAAATCGGCCGTATATTGCTCGATTAAAGCACGTTCATAAGCATATTTACCACCAAGATAAACAAATTCACCATTGTATAAACTTTTTGCATTAATCGTTTTAGTGTCTCCTTGTTCTATAAAATTGGGGTAGATCGTCAAAGGTTTTGTGTTATTTCGATTGTTACTCTTCTTATGTTTGCATTTCAATGAATAAACAATACCTTGAACAATCATATTAAAAAAATTAAAATATCTTCACACTGAAAAAAAGGAAAAAAGCCGATTTTAATCGGTTGTTTTCTGATTAATAAATGATTAAAATGACAGGATTTTATCCTGATTTTAATAACATTATTTAATTTTTGATTTATTTTAATCGCGATGCTTGGAGACTGAGTCAGTCGGAATTGATATCGAATCTCAAAGTGTAGCATGTGTCTCAATAATTGTCACAGTGATATACTTATTCTGTATTAAGTCGATGAATCAGAAAAAATAATGAAAAGTTTGAGTTTCTCAGTTAAAACTTGAGAAAAGCACGTTTTTTGGTTATCGCAATTGAAATAAATTAAAAATTAAATAATCTGAATAAAATCAGATAAAAATCGTGTCATTTTAATCAATTTTTGACCAGAAAAAAAATCGATTTAAATCAATTTTTTCTCCTTTTTTTGCCATAGCATCAACCTATTATTAATACCTGGTAGCACTTTTCCACGTTGATAACAAATGTAAACCATCGTCTTATTACAATTTTTCATATTTAAATGTTGATTACATACTTGACATATTGCTATAAATGGTTCCATATGATGAGCAGCAGCATCAGTCAATAAATGCCGTTCAATATTAATATGATGCCACGCTTGTGGTTGTCGAGTCTGATCCGAAAAGAAGTCAATAAGACCACGTACATGGTTAACATCATGTTCAGTTCCAAATGTTAATCGTAATTGTGACGTAATTCGTTCAACACGTTCAACATCATACATAGAATAAACACTATTTAGATGAACCACAAAAGTTATCTCATGTAGATAAAATTTTGTTAAAAATTCTCGAATTACAGCAATATGTTCTGCATTTGTTCGAGATACACCTGTTTCATTCGAACTCCTATCCGAAGCTCTCACCACTGATATCATCTAAAATATAAAACTTCCCAAATTAATCCAATATGTTATTTCTAAAACTCTACCCTATATGGAATTTAAATAGGAGCTAAATACTAATTGATATCGAATTTAAAACGCCTGTTTTAAACAATATCTAATCGATAAATATTAATTCAAATCGTTCAAACTTAAATCGTAATCAAACATGATACAATCAAGTAACATTAAAAACAGTAGAAAAGACCCTACTGTCCGGTTTTATTTAAAAAGTCACATAGTTCATCATCACACACATATGTAGGATCATTTTCAAAACTAAAATTACTAAGAGAGTCTGTGTGGTACAAAATCTGCGAAGTATCCACAACAAATGCCATTTTGTCGCTGTCATCTACGGCGACACATTTTAAATTTGAGCTCCGCTCTACATGAACAGTCCACGGTGTTTGTGTAGCAACGGTGGATACATCCGTAATAGTTTGCGTGCTAACTGAGAATCCTTGGAACAGATCGTCGTCCGATGCTCCATACATTGCATACTCCACGCCTTCGCTAATAACAGATTCGTTGTCGACTTGTGATGAGACACTGTCGTCAATATCAGAGCATATTTTCATCTTTTTAAACTTGGACGGGCAATGTATGACACTGATGTTAGCATTACTTTCCTACAAAAATTCAAAAAAATTGAAGATCATTGAAACCAAGCGAGTACCTGTAAATTTTTATTTTCTTCCTCATACAGCATTTCTCGTGGTGACTGCAAACATGATGGTAAACGTTTTTCAGACTTTTGTGATTCGTCCCGAATATCCATTTAATTAATATAGGCTAATATGCTGCTAACTGGAAACAAAAAAGATTAATAATCCGTGCTTTATTACCACAGAATTTCGATCTAAAACAAAAAAAACGTAGGATCAAACTTTTTTCAAGTTATGAAATAACAGCTACAACAAAGTATTGTTAGACTACAAATCCAACAAACAATAAACTAAAAAGACAACAATCACTAAAACAGACCACATCATTGTTCTTCATATTTTTAGCTCAATTGATCTTATAAAGCTCAGCATACACTGGTACATGTGTACTGTATTTTTTCTTTACCCTAAAATAGAATAATTAATAAGATTTTTATATAAACAAGTCATTATCAGATCCGTCTTCAAACCACGATCACTCTCTAGTACCAATTGAAGAACAAGCGAAGTTTTGATTTTCTGTGCTACTCACATTATATTCATGCACTTTTGTTCCAATCTTGAATATTTGATTCTTCGCAGCTCCTCCCATCAAAGTTTCTTCAAGATTCGTTGTATTACACTAAAGAAAAATAAATCCAATAGGTAAATAGGTCACATGTCAACTGACATCTTCTTTATATTGATGAAATATGTCCGCACTGATCTCAAGCAAAGATTCAGCTGCATTTCCAAACATACACACATTTAATTCACCTGTACGATCAACAATGCAACACTAAAAAAAATCATACAAATATCGAGACATTTCAAATAAATTCACGTGGTTGTCGTCAATCAACATACTGACAGAGCATATGCCCATTTGAAGACCATTTGCTCTGCCCTGCATTTTCTGCAAAAATATGAACCATTTCCTAAATTATCTAATTTTTTGCTACAGTTATCAACTGGACAACACTGAAAAATAGAAAATAATGTTCAACCATACGAATAGACCTTAGTAAAACTATTGCACCATATAAACTGCATGATCTTGATCGATCACACTACAATACCCTTTAACATAGAAATATTGAACATTCTTATGTTTCATAATATCACGCTCTATCGCCAACACCTGCTCTATTGTTACGATACTCCCTAAAATAAATATTTTGACCATACAAGTATACCATAAACATCTCAAGAACAATAGAAGAAGTGTACATTCCGCTTGATTTATAGTTGTCAAACAGGATACATTGAACTTTTGAAAATCTGATTTGCGTAATGCTTCTAATTGAATTGTACGATTTGTTTTTGGAAGATTGAATCGAATGACCGTTGAATCAATGCTTGATAAGCTTCGTCCTATAAAACATAAACGCATAAGCGATCATAAATAAAAATTTATGTCTCGCACTTGTAGGTCTTCACTGTCATCATGTCAACAATTGCAGTAACACATTATGATTTATAAAACACTATCATGAAACACTGGCTAACATCAATAATCTTAATCAAAACTTTTCTGGAAGCTTTATATACTATTCAATGTTTTTCATTAGAGCATTTTATTATTCAACGAGCAAATCTTTTTTTTTCAACACTATTTTTGTCATAGAATCACATAAACGGTTTCTTCACGTGCAAAATTTTTCTCCAACTTTAGTGCTACTATTCTGCACAATTAGTAATAATCATAACTTTATATTTACCGTAGAAATCACATATTTTGGCACCTTTGATACCAATAATAGAGCGTATAGCATTGCCAAACGCTTCTGCCTAGTTTGAATGAAAATATCGTAGCGCTACATAACAATTACACAAAGTAACCTGTTTTTCCCATAATGTTAACATTATTGAAGCATCTTCATCACTGATCATAATATCTCTTTTGACACAGTATTTTCCCTTATATTTATTATAGAATGTCTTGCATTCATCAATGCTTGATACAACTCCGATTATGTCTTCAAAAAAAAATAATTCATAATGGTATATATAATCACTTTTCAATGATTATTAAAGTATTCTTACCACAAACAGTGTTACTTGTTCGCAATCTAATTTCTTTGATTGGAATAAAGTTGAAAACAATATCACCATGAACTTCATCTTGTTCTTCACATATATCGATCACTGTGTCGAGCTTCAGAACCATTTGGTACATATGTGTGAACGAATTAAACTTCTGATTCGCTGGCACTATGCTAGCTTTGGATATGAAATAGGTCTATACGTGAAAATATAATATAATATATCTCCTAATTCTTGTACTCACTTTTCCCATCTCCAGCTTTGTATAAAATTGTTCAGCAACGTGGTCAAAGCCAACCATTTGAATTTCACCGGTTCTATCGACCAATCCAACACTGAAGACCTTGCCACTTCTATTCGCATTCGAATATTCACGAATGTAACTCTTATCTGCTACACAAGCCTTAATTGTCCACCTATAAATGGAGATATATATGTGATTTAAAATCAAAAGTGTTAAACAATTTCAACCTTCATATTTTCATTTAATAAATTAAGACCATTAAAATACAGCTACGATATGTGTAGCTCCTAATTCGATTCGATTAGTCATAATGAATCTCATATTATTCAAATCAGACTTTGCCTATCCAAGCTCAACCCGTAATCAATTTGAAAAAATTGCAAAAACTAATAAGCTTTGATCAATTATGACATTACTCTTTCATGTTATTTTAAGATAGACAAAAACATCTTTCAATATACTATTATACACACCCACTTCGAAATGGATCAAGATTATTGATGTTACAAATTTCTGTTGTATTCAATTTAGATTCTGTAAGAAGCAATCTGTAAGTATTGGTATCGTCTAATTGTGATTCACAATTGGAAATCATCATAGCTGCAGCACACTCAGCAACGTTTGACGAAGATCGGATGATTGGAATATCTTCGAACATTTCACAAAATATTTTTTCTTGATATGCAAAAACGACTTACTCAATGGAGTAGCTGGTGCCTGAGTAATATTTTCATTCTCTGCAAAAATACAAACAAATTATTTACGTGAAATAGTTAAAAGCCTGGCTTGCTTCGTTTCGCAAGATTTATAGCATAGCTTTTGTCATACATACTGAGTTGAATAGGATCGCCAATTTTCTCGCAATCACTTAATACCACCGTTAAATCACGAATTACCAAAATTACTCTAAAACAACAAAAACCTTTAAGAAATGTCTTACTCTACGTTCTATTCATCATATTATGTACCGTTCAGCATTTACACCAGCACTGCAAACATCCACCTGATTCACGCGTACGACCGAATTATTCTTCAAAATATCATTTTTTACTAAATCGACCATATCAGTCCCGAGTACGCATGCTAAAGGACCAATCAGATGAATATATATATATAAGTTCAGAAACAGAACATCTTCTTTCACAATGTATTGAATCACTCACAACTGAAAAAATATGTACCGTCCGACAAAATAAGCCGGTAACGTTTGTCTGTCAATGGATTATCTGTTGCTGTCGTCTTGATCAATTTCACACCCTATATAAGCCAAAAAATAGTAAATAATAGCCTAATTAACTGAGTGAACATACCAACACTTGGAGTATCGCACAATATCCTTTTTTACCTTTAATATATTCCTATAAATTGAAAATTTCTTATCAATCACTGTTATGAAAAAAATAAAAACTCACATTGAGACCACCAAGTGTAAGTCTTGGAAAATATTCACTCATCATCGATATATAAGAACAATTAGTTATCTAGAATGAAACATATCAGGGTAAATCCACCGGATCTCTACCACTTTTCTGGAAAATTTTGTTTTTCGATTTTGTCCTTCCAATTAGATGTATAGTCGTCGAAAACGGTTTGTAAGCAAAAAAAAACTTTTTTTTTATGCTGAAAGTTTGTAGAACTAATTCATTATTTAGAAACAACGCGACTTTTTTACTAATATATTTTCACTTTAAAACCGGAAATGTTTAATGGAAAAGCCGAGTTGTTCCTAAATAATGAATCAGTTCTCCAAACTTTCAGCATAAAAAAATTTTTCTTTTTGCTCACAGACCATTTTCAACGACTATACATCTAACTCGAAGGACACAATCGAAAAAAAAGACTTCTTTTAGAACATTGGTACGGGATTCCACATTTTCTCGAAAGTGGTAGAAATCCCATGGATTCACCCATGATTAGAAACATAGATATTCTAAACCATAGAGTATGTTTCTGGGAGCAGAACATATGACAAACATAAAAACAGTAGAATAACGAAAAATGAAATAATGAATGATTACATATAATTTTCATAAATCACCAAGAACATGAATTCGAACAAAAAAATATGAATGAGAAACAATAAATCAAATTAATCGAAAAGTTTCATGGAAAAAAGTTTATTATATGCAACGTGTTAGAACATTGCTCTTGGCAATCGTGTTCGACATAGACGCCCGGCAATTGGAGTCGTGTAGCTGGATTCATTGTGATCATCACCGATACTATTTATATTAGCATTCTTTTTCGGTTTTTTTACTGCATTTCCCGAATTTCCATTGTCGTTGTTCCATGATTTCAAGCGTTTAAGCTTCAATGGAGGCCATCTTTTTCCTGTACCTGGATGTTCAATGTCCGATGATCGATTTTGTTCTACTGAAAAGTATCATTACACATTTACATATTCTTTTCATTTATATAATTGAGAAAAAAACACATACCTTCATAACGATTATCACACTCATCAGTTTGAATTTTCTCTTCCGTTTTTTCTGCCGAAGCCACTGGTAAAACTCCGAAATCTATGGATAACAAATTATAAATGACAACGTTTAAGATAGATACTTTTATTTACCAATCGAGGATGTATTTATCTGAATATCTTGATCTTGATTACATTCTTCATTAGTATAAACGTACCCATCAATTACTATATCTGAATCTACCAAGAATAAAATACAATCGAAGGCAATTGCGTTTTATTTTTGAATCGCTTCGAAATACCTGTCAATCTCAAGCCATCATATGTACTTACGCTTATGAATTTATCAACTGTCATAAGCTCTATCGATGGTAAATACGTGAAATGGTGACAAACAATGAAAATGTAACTTACCTGATGTAATTAACATTTGTTCATCAACTTCAACATGATTATCATTATTCTCAACCGCTGACACTGTTGAATCTTCACTTTGTAAGAAATTTTCATTTACATCATTATTCAACGTGTAATCTATTTCCAAAAAAAAAGTGTTCGAAAATTTGAAATTAATCATAATAAAACAAAGAACTCACTGTTCAAAGGCATATCATGATCACGATTACATGAGAAATTCCCATTAGCACTTGTATCATTACTACTTGTATCATTAGCACTTGTATCATTAGCATTTGTATCATTAGCACTTGTATCATTAGCATTTGTATCATTAGCATTTGTATCATTAGCACTTGTATCATTAGCATTTGTATCATTAGCATTTGTATTCAAAATAATCGGTGCCATATTTCGTTCTTCAACACCTATTAAAACAATAACATGAGTATTAGTAAAAGATCTGAGAAATCATTCAAAAGCCACTGAATAATCTGAGAAAAATAACTTTTTGCTCAATTTTATTATATTTTATCAAGAAGTTATGGAGACCTTACCATGATGTAATACTGTGAGATCCAAATTTAAAGCTTTGTATTGAGGCCGGCTAAGAATTTCAAAAACACTCTGGGTAGGACCCCATGTAAATATTTTTTGCCTCAAAACGCGTCTGAAACGCGTTTCATTTGCGTGCGAAACGCTAAGAGTGAACGCGTTTGAACGCGTCCCCAGTGAAACAAACGGAGCGTTTAAACGCGATTTATTTTAGAAACGCGTGTGAATGCGCTTCTAGCTTGACTTGCGTTCAAACGCATTTTTAGCGAAAACGCGTCCCAGATGAAACATTTAATGCGTCTGGGCGCGTTTCATAAAAAAACTAAAAATTTTGAAAAAAAATATGATAATCCATTTCAGATTCGAACTGAGTCGCCACCATCAATATTTTTTGATGGTCTTAGCCTTCCCTGGCAAATGGATTAGATTTTACCTTAAGCGACGACGATCAGATTTGAACAGATGAACCAGTGATTAGAAGTCGTTCATACATACCGCTGAGTTATACTAACTCGAAATCTTGTCTTATTCAAAATAAAATATATTTGAAGACGAATTTCATCGGTTAAATACTTTATTTTAACAAGATGTATTTTTTTCGAATTCAAGAGTCTTAACGCGTAAGATGACTTTTCAGTTATTTTTTTAAATAAGTTTTTTATTTTTTTAATAAAATAACATCTTTTTTTTATCATCTGCTACACATAAAAAATATTACGATCTTTTTTATTGCACTGGTAATATGATAAATAATTTTATCGACAAATTTAATGAATAGATAATTATTGACAACCAATTTAGTAGAAATATATGATGAAAAGTTACTAATAATATTATTTAAATAGTAGTATTTAACAATATTCTGAAAGGGCATTGCATAGCTGGAAACTATTACAATATTATCTAACTATTTTTCTTACAAACTTTAGAGAAATATGGACTATTCACCGTATGTTTAATTGAGTTTTGTCTATTTTAACGTCATCTCGACATTCTTTATTAGAAGTCTAATGAAGTTTAGATGAATAAAATACATGTAAGCTGATGATTTTGATTATGCAGTTAACTCTTCTAGAGCAGCAATTTTTGGGTAAAATCGCGTTCGATACACAAAAAATAAACTTTCAAAGGCACTCGGAAATATGATTGCGTCCTAACGCGAGCGAAAAACATATTTAAGACACGTTTGAACGCAGTTCGTAAACAAAATTTTTTTAAACGCATTAAATTTTTTTCAGAAACGTGTCGAAACGCGGTTCATTTTTTTCTGATTGCGTTTAAACGCCTTGTATAGAAAACCTGCGTCCAGACGCGTTTCAAAATTTTTTCTAACTGCGTCTCAACGCTTCTCATATTACACCACGTTTGAACGCGTTCAGTCAAACTCTTATTAAACACGTACAAACGCAATTTCAATATGAAACGCATTGAGACGCGGTTCATAGTTTTTTTACAATTGCGTTTCAACACGTTGCATACAAAAACTGCGTTCAGACGCGTTTCAAAAGTTTTCTAACTGCGTCTCAAGGCGTTTCATATTAAAAACGCTTTTGAATGCGTTGTGAAACCGTTTTTAACTGCGTCTAGACGCGTTTTGTTGTGAAACCGCGTTTCAACGCATCGATCTTGCGTTTCGTGATTACATGGGACGCTTTTTGCAGGAGTACTTGACTTTTCGACATGTATCAAGAACTGTTTGCATTGTCACAGACGGATTACCTAAAGAAGCCAAATTGTCGATAAATTTTTGACATTCGATATCCAATGTTTGGTCTGGCAATGCTTTAATATAAATTGTAACTGGTTTTGTACCAGGCTCTGTTGCACGATCTTCTTTAATCAAAAGTTCCTTGTTGACGAGATCCTCACACATATCTCGTAATACAGCTGCGCCATTTTTCAATAGCCGACATTCATAGAGAGTCCGTAAAGTGAATAAGACTGAATCAAACAGTAATATTGCTTGTTCCATTTCGAATGATTTTTTGCCAAATTTCAGGCGCTTTTTAGCTTTTTTGTCGATGTCATTTGTCATCAATGGGTCAACTGGTTTATTTAAAGTTGACAAAAAATGAATACCTTCATGTTCAGGAATAAACATCAACAACTTGTATTGCTCTAAGTTGCCGGAAATAACATCTATTGCACGTTCAACAACATCACTTGATATATAAAAGCTTCGATTGTTTTCAATAGATGAACCATGAAGCTCAAAAAATAACAATTCACATTTAGTTAAAAATTCATTTGAAATTGATTCATCTTCAAAGCCGCCATGTCTTTGAACAAATGCTTTGACCATATCCGATGCGAATTCAATAATTTGACATAGACCAGCAAGTCTATGCACTGCATCAACCGATTTGCCGAATCGACTAGCCAAATGATCATCACGTTCTTCCATTGCTCCTATAATATAGTTACTTGAAAAAATGGCACATCCAAAATGTCTACATAGGTCTTTATTTCAAGGTCTGCTAAAATTTTTTTATCCACAGGAGAAGATTCGTACAAACTTCGCATTAAAATCTCATTGCACGCATTGGAAGCAAATCCAATCTTTCTTAATTCTTTCATCAATTATTTCCAACCTGATTATTCTTTTAAGTAAATTTACTCAATAAACGGCAATTTATCACTATATTTCGCTATTCAAACAAGATAATTCATCTTTTAAAACACAGGCTAACAAATAAAAATAGCAAATATTCTAACAATAATTAGATAAAATGTCTTTAGTTCTATGAGACGAAGATAAAAATGTTACTTGGATTTTCAAACACTACACAAAGTATTCAAAATTGATTGTATTCTACGAAAAAATGCACAACAAACATAGAGTTTTAGTAGATGCGTCTGAAAATGCAAATGAATGTTTTTAACATAACAACATGGAATGAATCTAACAAATCGGTAGAATAGGCATTCTAAGTGCAATCTTTTCAAAATAGTAATATTTCCGAGCGAGCACATCAGTTATAAAAAAAGTTACCATTTTCAATTATTCATTTATCTTGCTTTTTTCAAATAAATTATTTGAATTTCTCTGAAAAAATATCACGAACTCAGAGTTTATGAGTTGCACTCTATTTCTCCTAATGTGGTTGCACCCACAAGTTTTCTAGATAATTATAAGAGACATATAGTTTCACAGATTATTCTTGAGATCGATTAAAATCACTTCAATTTTAAATCGATTACTTCTATTATTTTAGAGGCAATAGACTTCAATAGATTGAACGTGAAATCAATAAAAATCGATTTTATTTTTAATTGATTATTCAGCCTATTCTAAATCAAAAAGGTTTCAAATCATTATTTAGAAACCAATTAAAACCGATTCGATTTACGGTCCATTAGTTGAATAACTCTGAATGGAAAAAATTATAACCAATTACTCTTGGGATCGATTGAAATCAGCTCGATATGTAATCGATCACTTCAATGATTCTAAACTCAATGGATAATAACAGAGTATTCTTTAAATCGATTACGATCTATTGGACTTTTAGTGCATTATAGAGATTATTCTAAACAAAATACATTATATCAGATCATTCTTGAAATAAAATATATCAACTAGATTTTCAATCGATTACGTGGATTATTCTGGATGAAATAAATAATATTAAATTATTCGTGACATTAACCCTTTGACTCCCGGCGACATATATATGCATCCAAACATTTTTTATAAAAATTTGGACTTTTTAGAAAAAGCTGGGAGTCAATGGATTAAGGACTAGCGCGGCAGATAGATCTTGTCGAGCTGTATCGAATGATGTGTCTTTTAATCAAGGGGGAAACGGCGGACTTGAAGTAGAAAAGTACGCCAAAGTACGTCAAAGTAGACTACTTGAAGTAGCTCAAAATACCACTCAAGTAGCCCAAAGTCGGAACAAGTAGCTTAAAGTAACTTGAAGTAACTTCAGGTAAATTTGAAGTTGAAAAGTACTTCAAAGTAAGCTACTTCAAGTAGCTGAAAGTAACTTGAAGTAGCTTAAAGTAGCTCAAAGTAACTTCAAGTCCAAAAGTCCGTCGTTTCCCCCTTGCTTTTAATTCTTTGACGTTCATCTTTTGTTGCGAAAATCCAAATTTTTATAAGAAATGTTTGGGCGCGTATTTGCGTCGCCGGTAGTCAAAGGATTAATTACGATCTATTAAACTTTTAATCAATTATTAAGGTTACTCTAAACAAAATAGATTATATCAGATTATTTCTAGAACCCATTAAAATCCACTGGATTTCTCACCGATTGATCAGGTTATTCTAAACCAAATATATTATATCAGATTATACATGAAATAAAATATATCGATATATTTTTTATCGATTATTATGATCATTCTAAACGAAATACACTATATCAGTTCATTCCTGAAATCAATTAAAATTTATTAGACTTTTCATGAATAATCTCGATCATTCTAAACCAAATATATTATATCAGATAACGCTTACAATAAAATAAAATCGAGTAGACTTTTAATCGATGATTACTATTATTCAAAACGAAATAGGTTTATGTAAGATTATTCATGAAAATCAATTAAAACCGATTACACTTTTTTTTCGATTATTACGATCATTCTAAACGAAATATATTATATCAGTTAATGCTTAAAATAAAATAAAATCGATTATTTTGATCATTCCAAACGAAATATATTATACCAGATTATCCCTGAAATCTATTTCAATCTGTTAGGCTTTTATCGATTATCACAATTATTCTAGACGAAATAGATAATAACAGGCCATTCATTTAATCAATTAAAATCTATTAGACCTTTTATGGATAATCTCGATCATTCTAGGCGAAATATATTATATCAGATAATGCTTAAAAAAAAATATAATCGATTAGACTTGATCAATGATTATGATTACTCAAAACGAAATAGATAATAACAGATTATTGATTCAATTGATTACAACCTATTGAACTTTTCATCGATAATTTCGATCATTCTAAACGGAATATATAAAATCAGATTATTTTTGAAATCAATCAAAATCAGTTATGTTTTAAATCGATATAACAGATTATTTCTCGATAAATTGGATTTGATTGACTCATCCCTGAAAAAATCTATTTCAATCTATTATTTCGTTGAACTCAATCAAAATGATTTATGTAATCGAATGTTTGTGATTATTGTCGGAAAGCCGAGTCTAATGTGATCTTTTGACCGTATTCCTCTATATGGGGATCTATCCTTCGTCTCAAACAAAACGAAAAAAAAAATTAGTATTCTCAGTGCGTTACAGTACCTTGTCTTTTAATGAAGTTGCACCATTCGATCATTCTGAGATTAGAGTCTTCATTGAAACGCATCTCAATGCGTTCAAAAAAGCTCATAACCACAGCAAATTGTTGAATTGTGGGCCATTGAGAACAGTCCCAATCTGGACGATTGATTTCAGTGTCTATGGTGTCACCAGACAACACCCAAAATAAGAAGCGTTCATACAAGGCATCAGCAAGAGTATTTTGAGCTCGTCTTGTGATCACCCGCTGAATTAATTCACCAGTTAGTCCAGCCTCAAAGAAAAATATTTTTATTTCATAACAAGCTTTTTAAACCTACTAGTATGTTTAATTTTGAATCACTAACTTCTACGATAGAATTCTTCAATCTTTTTGAATATTGTTCAGGATGATCATATAAATTGATGAGTTGAGCTCGGGAGTCATCCAGAACAGAAGAATCACGGCCTCCCACAGTAGGCGACAGGAAAGCTCCCATACGTTTTAAAATAACATCTCCTTCTTCTGTCATCAACATTCTTGTACATCCTTTTAATGAATCTAATACACCAGCCGTCGTTGCTTCGTTAAAAATAACACGAATATGGTTCGAACCATTCAATTTATCTCCTACTTCTCGAAACTTCATTGGTCTAGAATCTCGAACAGCTAAAATTGACGATTGTACCAAACCTAACATTGGACTTTTCCCATATGCTAAAAAAACAATCATCAATAAATAAAATGTCAAAAGACGACATCAGAAACACATACAACTTTTTGCAACAACACAGTTATATAAATTCAACGGCTTTTTAAATTGATTGGCTCTAAAAATATATGATTGTTCACAAGTTGTAGCAGCTATATTGATCAGAATGATTGGAATAGCATCAGCATGCAGCTGCCAAAATTTACCAATTTCATTACAATATTTTGCCATATTGCTGCTAAAAAAAATGTTCGGATTCACCTTTATTTGAGAAGCTAACATTCGATTTTCTTTGAAACGGTTCGTGAAATTATTAGAGATCATCATTGCCATAATCTAGAAGAAAAATATATCCATAATGAACAGATCACCACAAAACTCAGATACAATATGACTTGAAAAAATATTAACTCTTATGCGATAAAATCCTATCCTTTCAACAATGATGGACTCAATGCTTAAACAATACTGCAGCAGAACACCAAAGATGGGTCTGGAGTGATGTAGACCTTCGTGTTTCACAGATCATAACACATAGAAATAGAGACAACCTCCAATTCTCGAGAAAAATACTTTCATAAAAACGCCCTCTAATAAAAAAAAATCAGTTGGCCCATTATAAATGTAATGTATTTCTCGATTTTATTTAAATCTATTTAAATCTATCTTATATTTATCTGAATGACGCAGTTCATATGAAAAACAAATCCTGAAGAGAACAAAAAAGTCCGCTGAGAAATAGAAACATCCTCTTGTCCATCCTATAGCTGGAATAGACTATTCCTTCGATTTAAATTTATTCAATCGTTTCCTATATTTATCTCGAGAAAAAAAATCATATGAAAAGAAAAGTACTGAAGAAAATAGAAAAGTCCGCTAGAAGAGAGAAACATCCTCTGGTCCATCATATATATACAACAGATTATTCCTTTGATTTGAATTTATTTAATCGTTTCTTATAATCATCTTGATAAAAAAAATCGTACGACAAGAAAAGTCCCGAAGGAAATAGAAAGGTCCGCTAGAAGAAAAACACATCCTATTGTTCATCATATGTATGCAACAAAATTATTTCTTTGATTAAATCTATTTGAATGTTTTTATATTCACCTCGATAAATAAAATCATATGAAAAGAAAAGTCCTGAAGAAAATAGAAAAGTCCGCTAGAAGAAAAAAATATCCTTTTGTTCATCATATATATACAATAAATTATTTCCCTGATTAAATCTATTTGAATGCTTTTATATTCACTTTGATAAATAAAATCATATGAAAAGAAAAGTCCTGAAGAAAATAGAAAAGTCCGCTAGAAGAAAGAAACATCCTCTTGTCCATCATATATATACAATAAATTATTCCTTTGATTTGAATTTATTTAATCGTCTCTCATATTCATCTTGATAAAAAAAATCGTACGACAAGAAAAGTCCCGAAGGAAATAGAAAGGTCCGCTAGAAGAAAAACACATCCTATTGTCCATCATATGTATGCAACAAAATTATTTCTTTGATTAAATCTATTTGAATGTTTTTATATTCACCTCGATAAATAATATCATATGAAAAGAAAAGTCCTGAAGAAAATAGAAAAGTCCGCTAGAAGAAAGAAACATCTTTTTGTTCATCATATGTATGCAACAAATTATTTCACTGATTAAATCTATTTGAATGTTTTTATATTCACCTCGATAAATAAAATCATGTGAAAAGAAAAGTCCTGAAAAGAATAGAAAGGTCCGCTAGAAGAAAAAAACATCCTTTTGTTCATCATATATATACAATAAATTATTTCTCTAATTAAATCTATTTGAATGCTTTTATATTCACTTCGATAAATAAAATCATATGAAAACAAAAGTCCTGAAAAAAATAGAAAAGTTCGCTGGAATAAAGAAACATCCTCTTGTCCATCATATATATACAATAAATTATTCCTTTGATTTGAATTTATTTAATCGTTTCTTATATTCATCTTGATAAAAAAAATCATGTGACAAGAAAAGTCCTGAAGAGAATAGAAAGATCCGCTGGAATACAGAAATATCCGCTGGTGGAGTATTTATATTTTGCTCTTCCTATCACTACTGATATACGTGACATTTCATAAGGTACGTAAAGTCCCACATATTCATAGAGGACTTTAGGTAAAGTGGACATTTTTTGGACCTTTGACATTGCTGCCATTCTCAAGATATTTAAATTTTTCGAAGGGAACCATCTCTGAGAA